GAATATAAATCTGTCACAAAATCTTCTGCAGTTTCTGTTAGTCCTTGTTTTCTACGTAGAAATTTGGCTCTTTCATAAATAGTATTCTTCTTTGGATTGAAGTGCCCATCAAATTTGTCCATGACTGTTTTATACTTTGTTTCTTCGTTGGTCATTTTTAAGGATGAGAATATTTCTTCTAATTTTGGGCCCATTGCATATATGAGTGTACTCACTTGTTTTTCTTCAGTTGATTGAACCAAATCACTAATTGTTCTAAATCTTTCAAAACGTTTTTTCCAAGATGACCATTCCGCTGGTTGGAAGGAAAAAGGTTCAGGCATTCTTACTTGTGTATGAGACATGATAAACTTTTTTGATAATGGTTGATACCAAAAAAGTTGTTGATATGTTTGGATAGGTAAAAAATTAAATTTTAGTGTCAGTATCTTAATTAATACATAAATAGTTGAGACAACCAAAGCCTTTGGTCACCCCAAACTATGCAAATAAAGACTGCGCCATGTATTAAACCCATGAAAATCAGAATTTATCATGATAGAATAATTTAGGTAAAAGTATTTTATTAGTATCAATCAACTAGGAGTAAACAATAACAATTAACATATCTAAATATATAAAAGGCAAAGCCCTCACTGACTGACTGACTCACTCACTCACTCACTCATCACTAATTCTCCCACTTCCCATTTACCTAGGAGGCTGAAATTCGATACACCAATTCTTTGTGCATTAAATAGGAAAACTAAGTAGTTTTTATTCTGATCGGGCTTTCGGCCTCCGCCCCAGTGGCTCTGGAGTTTCCCATGTTAACCTTACGATTTTTCATATTTAAAAGGAATTTTTTAACAGCTGTTTTAATTAAACAATTTGGTTATGTTCTATGATGTTCAATAGCATTAAAGTTACAAGGATTACCAACAGGGTGCAGCACTATTATCTTTTTAAGTTTATGACTACAGCCAATTTGCAACCAAAAGGTGAGTGAGCGTAGTGAACGAACTTCAACCTGGAAGGGAGTTAGCGTAGCGAACGAGCTAATCTGAAGGCAAGTGAGAGGAGCGAACGAGCTCCAACCTAAAGATGAGTGAGCGTAGCGAACGAACTTCAACCAGGACGTGATTGAGCCATGCGAACGAGCTCACTTGTGAAGTTAAACGGGGCAATGCCCGAGGGTACAGCTAGTGATAATATAAAACTAAAATGAGCCAACCATTACAGTTTCTTATATGCTTCACAAATTAATTTATTTTCTTCCCTTTGTCTTAAGCCCTTTGAATGCATTCCTAACTTGACAAAATTTAGGTTATCAGATTTACATATGAGGTCATTTTGATAATCAAATAAGTTTTCTGTGCAGGGGTGCCCAGAGGGGGGGTACTGTGGCGCGTTTGCGCCACAGGAATTTTTTGGGGGGGCTTTTTTAAAGGATTTTGGGGTGGAATATTATCTTGCTAGCTGTCATAATGAATGTATAATTTTGTGTAAGCAGCCCGAAAAGTGTTTCTAAGTAGCTAACTATCAACAACACTAACAACATTTTGCCGTTCGTAATTAAGATTGCTTCTAAGAATGGTAAAAACGCACTTTGTCAGACAATCCTTAATATACCAGTGTCGAATTTTACTTGCTACATATGTTTTGGTGGTTCTTTAACTCCACCATCGTCAGGATTTGCAAAAGATCCACTTCTGGAGGAGTCGACAGAATACGTTACAAACATTTAACACAAACACGAAACTATTACAGACAGGCCTATGAATTCACGCGTGTACATTGCCGTCGCGTCGGCAGGACTGGAAGTAAACTGAATCAGGTTCAGGTTATGACGGACCGATCACGTGGTCTCGGGATTGTCGTCTGCGTTTTCAACAGCTGATATTGGACTAATGTAGTGACTGAGAAGTGTTGAAAATATAATAGGATTCATAATTATTTGAGTGTTTTCACTCAAAAATTTTGTGCTGTTTCTAGTTTTATGTGTTTATATATTTTAAACACCTCAAAGTATTTAATAAATTTCCTTTCGCACAGTACTGTAGAATTTAGAGACCATCATTTATATCAAGCATATAAATTGGTTATTATTGTCAATAATTTTGAATGGAAAACTCAATTATGAATCTCATTATATTTTCAACACTCTCCTCCGTCCCTACAATAATTAGTCCAATATCAGCTTTTGATAACACAGACGACAATCCAGAGACCACGTATTTCCGTCATAACCTGATTCAGTTTACTTCCAGTCCTGCCCGCGGCAATACACACGCGTGCATTGATAGGCATCGTTTCGTGTTTTGTGTACAAACGGATCGTCTGACAAGATGCGTTTCTACCATTATTAGTCATAAAAGGCAATCCCGGGGCTATCAAAATGAATTATAAGATAACTTCACTTCGTCACAAAAACCTTTTGTACTGGTGGCAATTAAAGTATTGTGGGTATTTTGTCCGGCAATATTTGTTGAAGGCAGCCTGGGAGTGGCGAGCGACAAGGCTGTCTTATTTCATGACTCTGCCTATAATTTTGAATTAAGATACTTTTTGCCAAAGTATTATTAATGCACTTAAAGCTGTTTGAATTCTTAAGCCCTGTAAAAATTAACACCACACTGTGTTGGAGTAGAGTAATTCACCGAGTATATTTTTGTACGTTTTGAAGACGTTGTCTATTGCAATACTGAGCACATGTTGGCTGACAATACAGATTCTGAATTGTAAATTGAAAAAATTCTAATTCGTCCATTAGTTAGATTAGATATAATGATGTATTGTTAAATGACGTTTCCTATTAAGCATTTAATTTTGATTATCAGCAAGTTTGTTTTTCGTACCTCAAGTTTACTAAATACTTAAAATGCTCGTTTTATGAGGTAAAGGGAAAATTGTCAGATAAATTGGTGGGAGGAGGGTAGGTTTAAATAGACGGCAGCATAAATTGGGGGGGAACTACTCCTGTGGCTTGGGGGGGGGGGGGGATTGCACCTCTGGGTTTGGGGGGGATGGGCACCCCTGTTTCTGTGCAGTGTTAAGATACTTTTTGCCAAAGTATTATTAATGCACTTAAAGCTGTTTGAATTCTTAAGCCCTGTAAAAATTAACACCACACTGTGTTGGAGTAGAGTAATTCACCGAGTATATTTTTGTACGTTTTGAAGACGTTGTCTATTGCAATACTGAGCACATGTTGGCTGACAATACAGATTCTGAATTGTAAATTGAAAAAATTCTAATTCGTCCATTAGTTAGATTAGATATAATGATGTATTGTTAAATGACGTTTCCTATTAAGCATTTAATTTTGATTATCAGCAAGTTTGTTTTTCGTACCTCAAGTTTACTAAATACTTAAAATGCTCGTTTTATGAGGTAAAGGGAAAATTGTCAGATAAATTGGTGGGAGGAGGGTAGGTTTAAATAGACGGCAGCATAAATTGGGGGGGAACTACTCCTGTGGCTTGGGGGGGGGGGGATTGCACCTCTGGGTTTGGGGGGGATGGGCACCCCTGTTTCTGTGCAGTGTTATTTGGTTTTGACGACTTGTTTACCATAATTTACCGTAGCCTATCCTGTTGTAGTTCACTTGGGCTGCTCCATAGTTAACAGCATCAGCATCAAATGATGATTCTTTTACTATGTCATGCAATTGATCGTCTTCAATTCACATCAGAGTAAAGTTGTAGGCTAATCAACACATGATGACTTCATTACTTCATGATGAAACTAGTGAGTTAGGAAGCCCTTCACAACCTTTCTTGCCAATATTATGTTGCATTTCTTGACCACTCAAGATGGTTGGCTTAAAACTAGCTATAGGTTAATAAAATTAAAATAAGCCCATGTGTTCTGAATCTTGACTAAATCAATTGGTTGTCAAGGCAGATCTAAAGGGGATTGAGTGTAGACATTAGCTATTTAGGGTAAACATGCTGTCTTCATAAATCCCTTTAATTTGGTGACGGTTTGACTTTACCTGTGACCCCAAGTGTCTTAGCTGTGTCAGAATCAAGTAATGACACAGTTGAACCGTCGCCTAGTTGTGTGTAAGTGTCAAATTTGATCATTTGGAGCAAACAATGAAACTGGACAGACCCTAAGTAGAACACGGTTATTATCAATAATGGTATCTTAGACTACTAATCATTTCATTATTTTGGGGTTCACTGTCTTGCCTGGAAAACCTCTTGAATTTGTCAGTATGGAGAAGACGATGATGTAACAGCCTGCACCAATTAATTCCATAAACTTGTGATATTTTACACATTTTAAGCTAGTGATGCTGAAAGCAGAAGAAACATAGTTTCTTTTCGGCAGTGATCTTCCTATCTCTAAGATACATCTGCTTTCCTGAAAATCCTACGAATTTCTATGATTCTCTGAGCAAAATGTACAACTAACTGACTTCACCTAGCTAAATTTGTGAAAACCACATTCATGTTATTGTTATTCCGCTCCATGTCACCTGTGAGGTGGAAGTATTTGCTCATAGAACATTGCTTTTGTAGTCAGTTAGAGAAACATTACTAACATGTTCAGCCCACCTGTATTTAAGTAAGACTATTAGATAGCTTATTTAGTAGTTCATTCAAAAGTTGAGCATGTAAGTCTCTGTAATGTTTTCATTACTCATAATGTGCGCTCAATTGCGAGAGAAACATTTTATCATTTGGTATTCACTAAAGCTACTGTCATGTTTTTTCTTATGATTGTATTTAAGTTTGATGTGATCCTTTACTTTACAATTGTAAAAAATCACTCGCTGTTTCTGTGACATGAGCAAAAACCAAGTGACTGTGAATTTAGAAAGAGGCTATAAAAACCACTTTTGGATATCATCAACCTATGCTTACACAGTATAAGTGTAAATATATGTTTCAAGAGTGTTATTAGCTATTATTTTATTTACTTTCAGTAATTTATTCTGTTCCGGTCTATTTAGGCAGTAATTACTGAAATGAATAACAATACCATTTTTCATTGTTTATTTAAAATTGCAGGTATCAGAGACAACTATTTTGCAGAGTATGCATTAGAGTATTTCAAGGCAGGGAGGAAGTATCTGAGTTACTACAATGATGATTTGGCTTGCACTCAAAACCCTGTGTCAACCAATCTCATACGTGTAGCTCAACAGTTGCTGACTAGAGACTGGCCATCAGGCTCTCATCAGTCTAGCCTCTTACAAGAGGTCAGTATACATGTATTAGTCATTCTCACACTTGTCATGAAGTCAGTATAGACATGTTTTAGTCAATCTTATATTTGTAGCTTAAAGATTGGTGACTAGAGCTTGGTCATCAGACTCACACCAGTCTAGCCTCTTACATGAGGTCAGTATAGACATGTGTTAGTCACAATGACATTTGTAGCTCAACATTTGTTGACTAGAGGCTGGTCATCAGACTAACACCAGTCTAGCCTCTTACATGAGGTCAGTATAGACATGTTGTTAGTCACAATGACATTTGTAGCTCAACATTTGCTGACTAGAGACTGGTCATCAGACTAACACCAGTCTAGCCTCTTACTTGAGGTCAGTATAGACATGTGTTAGTCACAATGACATTCATAGCTTAATATTTGCTAACTAGAGACTGGTCATCAGACTAACACCAGTCTAGCCTCTTACATGAGGTCAGTATAGACATGTGTTAGTCACAATGACATTTGTAGCTCAACATTTGCTGAATAGAGACTGGTCATCAGACTTAACACCAGTCTAGCCTCTTACATGAGGTCAGTATAGACATGTGTTAGTCACAATGACATTTGTAGCTCAACATTTGCTGACTAGAGACTGGTCATCAGACTAACACCAGTCTAGCCTCTTACATGAGGTCAGTATAGACATGTTGTTAGTCACAATGACATTCGTAGCTTAATATTTGCTGACTAGAGACTGGTCATCAGATTAACACTAGTCTAGCCTCTTACATGAGGTCAGTATAGACATGTTGTTAGTCATAATGACATTTCTTCTGTAGCTCAACATTTGCTGACTAGAGACTGGTCATCAGACTAACACCAGTCTAGCCTCTTACTTGAGGTCTGTATAGACATGTGTTAGTCATAATGACATTCGTAGCTTAATATTTGCTGACTAGAGACTGGTCATCAGACTAACACCAGTCTAGCCTCTTACATGAGGTCAGTACCTAGGGTACGAGGCAATTCATTAGCTTTTTTTGGGGGCACCAAAAGATAGGAATATAACAAAATTTGGTGGTTGTATTTGCATGTGATTGCGATCAACTTCTTATAATCCCTGCAGCCGTGTTTACCTCATTATCTTCTCCCACGGCCGTGTAGACATCTTAACTGTTTCCCGCTATTGCGGCAAAATATCAATAATTTGTTGCTATCGTGTAGACAACATTATTGTCTCCCGCGATTGCAGCAAAGTTCTGACTATTTCCCGCGGTCCTGTGGACATAATTATAATCTTCCATGATTGCGGCAATATAAGCATATCCCACGGTCATGAGGCATAATTCTGATCATATCCCACGGTTGTGTGAACATTATCATCGTGTTGCCCGATCGAGGTAAAATTCTGATCATCCCTTGCGGCTGTGAAGACATCATTATATCGTCTCCCATGATCGTGTGGACATAGTAATCGTCTCCTGCGATTGCGTCAAAATGGTAATCATATCCTGTGGTTGTATGGAGATCATCACTGTCTTCTGTGAACGAGGCAAAATTCTGATCTTGTCCCGCTGTCGTGTGGACATTATTATTATCTTGCGCGATCACGGTAAAATTCTGATCATTGCTGTGAAGACATCACAATATCGTCCTCCCGCTGTCATGTGAAGATCATCATTGTCTTTTGCAAAAGGTTAAATACCAATATTTACTTTACTTTTCTAATGGAATAGGTCCATCTTTTGTAGATTATAGGTAATTTTATAAAACACTTGGTAAAGGGATCTCTTTTTTCATGGCGTTCTCCAGTTTATTTAAATAAAGATTCATTTGTTTTTTTTTTAGATCTGCTCTATGGACCGAAAAATCCCTTCAAATGTCATTAACGCTCTGAAACTAAAGAGGTCACGTCTGTACAGCAGAGTTCTTTCAGAAAATTCAGACACTGATTGATCTGTTTGTATATGGTTGAGAAGAAGTAATTTCATTATTGTATAATTTATTAATTAGTCATACTTTAAGAGTAATGTTCACAGAAATTTGTATAATTCTGTAATTTAATTTTGTTTGATATGGTCAGCCTGATAAGAGGTTGTGTCATAGAGTAAGTTAAATCATTTGATTAATTTAAAATTGTGAATTTTAATGTATTACTAATGATAGTATTTTTATGAATATATAAGTTGTAATAATCAACATATTAGGTACAGTACTGATTATCATCAGATTGGTAATTGTATCAAGTAACATTATATTATTTATTTAATTGTATTAATATTGTTTCATATTGAAGAAACTAGTTTAAAGTAGATCGCAGCTGTAATTGACAGTAAATCAACACTATTTATGATCAATTAATAACCAGCAGTCCCTGGTATAAGGAAACAATTGGTTCAGTTATCTAATAGTCTGTAATATTGTGTTATATTAAGAGTAAAGTCAGTGATTTTGTTTAAGAATATTAAATTAATTATGACAAACTTTCCTGGATTTATATTTATTTTATTTTATAACACTTGGTAATAACTTGGTTTACAATTTTTTTACTTACTGTAGGTTCTTTTAAAAACTAGTGTAAAAAACAATCTATTCTTTAATTGGGTAATTACAAAGTTTGGGTGTGAATTATAGTATCCTATCCCAGCAGGGTAGTTCAGATCTAGAGGTAGTTTTTTAAAGGAATAAAGTTTCTAGGCCTGAAGGGGTAGCTACTAGCTTACCTTAGAAGAAGCACAGGTAGGGTAGGTCATAGAACACACAGAAAACACAATATACGAGTATTTCGTCTCCTGGGCGACCTTTTCAGATGTAGACAAAAATACTCCACCCAAAAATTATCATTAAAAAATACACTGTAACTCTCTTTGCTTACGATTGAAATAATTCCCAAGGGGATGAAATATTGTGTTTTATATGTCTTCCGTGTGTCAGGACTATGTAAAGGGGGTTTACACACAGCCATGTTGTAGAGTGGGTGGGGGTCTGAAGGCGATTCCCACGATATTTAGGACAGAAATAGTGTGGTCTTTTAAAGGTGAATTTAAAAAAATGTAAAATGTTACATAAACATAGGAATACTCTAGTTCAAGTAGCCTATACATTTAATATTTTAAAAATTCACTATATTTTTAAAATATTGGTTCAAGTTTTTTATTACCTAAGTAAATGGTAATGAGTGAGTGCTAAGTTAGCGAAAAAGGTGTGAGTGCATTCCAGCTGTTCCAATCTTACACTTACACAGAATGTCAGCCAACCGGAAACCGGGAATCGTATACTGTAGTTAATACACTGGGAATAATCAACAGTTTTTACAATACAGTAGGCCTACGTTTTATACTGGGTGAATTAGACCACCCGTGCACATACTTTTACGAGAGTACGTTTTGACCTAGAAACGCGAGATTTAATTCACATACTATAATAATCCATTTCCACCCAACCATTATTAAGTAATTTGATTTTAAAATTCAAAAAAAATTTCCTTTACATTGGAGGAAGATGTTTTCATTAAACTTAACCTTGTGATACAATAACATATGTTAATTTTCAACCTGAAGGCGAGTGAGCGCAGCGAACGAGCCACAACCAAAAGGTGAGTGAGCGTAGCGAACGAACTTGAACCAGGACGTGATTGAGTGATGCGAACAAGCTCATCTTGAAAATTAAACGAGCATTTGATATTAAACCACATTAGGCCAGGACGACGTCTGTAGGGCCAGCTAGTAATTCTAAACAAAATAGTTCAATCTGCATTGCTGAAACAATTATGGTTCAAAAGTTATTGTATCTTTTGCCGTTTTCCCTATATAATATCATAGTTATTCCCACCCCTTAAACATAAAGGTTGTTAGCAAGGTAATGGGAGAAAGTATGTATCAGATTGCTATTGCTGATATCGTTTATTTCATGTGTATTACAAACTTTTAAAAATGAAAATAGTGGATAGGAAATAAATAACAATTTGTTTTTCAATACATAATATGTCTACTAACTGTTTACAATAATAAAAAGAATAGTTAGTTGTACAACTTGCTCAATATTTTTAAGGTTTAGTTATAAAATGTACATTAAAGAAGCCCTTAAGTACTCCACAAATTTAATCTTCAAACTGTAATGCACTTATGATATTACAAATCACAAAAAGGAAACATATACTAATTCCAAGAAATACTAGCTTTGATGATAAAATAAAATAATTCATAATAACTACAAGTTTATCAAAGTAAAACTTTACTAAGAAATCCCCGTTATTAAGAAATCTCCACTGTACATTAAAATGTGATTTCTTTACTATTTTTTTTTATCAAATAAGTTGGCAGAATATTCCAATTTACCTTGTATTAGCCCGTCCACATAGCAACAGAGCAAGGGTATGTCCGTTATCATGTAGTACTGAGATTTGGTGGTGGCACCAGAACACAAGAAGCCCAAGACATTCATTGCTTCCTTGGTTTCACAGTCTGCCATGTTACCAGTCTGGACTTAACCCTTAAAGTATGATAAACCAAAGATTGTTGGGTAATGACATTTTAGTTGGAACGTATACTAACTGACCCTGTATAATGGAGGTGGAAGGTCTATTTAAATCATATGATAAACCTATTGTATGAAAAGTGATGAAAAAGTAACATTGTAAAACTTTGGTTGTGTGCTAACATTATGTAGAAAATAAATTTTTGCTTAATGGCTATGTATATTGAACGATTTACATTAAACTTGGCGGGAATATTGAATAATGCTAATAGATATGAGCTTTATTCCTAGCCCCCCAGCCATTTGTTCTAATGTTGAAATTCACTTTATTTACGTTAATGTACACATGAGAACCTATTTTATTTATTATATTGTGTAAAATGAAAAGTAATACGTAAAATCATGTTACTTTATAACAGTTTATATTGAAGTTCAACTTGAATGTAGCCACAGAGAAGTAATGTACAGAGGAACCACTCAATGGTACACTTATGGTGACTAGCATTAGTCACTGGTGTCTATGGCAAAGTCCAATACCCCCCCCCCCTGCCCTCATCCTCTTGTCCTACAACGCTCATGGTGGAGAACCCTTTTTGCAATAAGAAATTCCTCACAGTGCTCGCTGCTCGGGCTCTTTCTCCTTGCTTGTCACAAGTGTATATTTCCGGCACATCGTACTAGAACTGAAAGTGCACAGTTGTCCTATGAGCAAGTTTTTCTTGTACCTTACTTCTCTGTGATGTAGCATAGTCAATCATTGTTATTGTGTTTTACTAAATTACTGCAAAAGCATTCAGAAATATGAGTTCTACTACGAGAGTTAAGTGAATATCTGCACAAATTAATGGGACTTCTACAAGTTTTTTTTTTGCCAGTTTAAGTCATCAAAACTATTTTTCCCTTAACAAACTATAAACGTTTTGGTTGATGAGTAGTTTGATGAACAATTAAAGTTTATTAATTACAACGCTTTTAAAAACTAACTTTAAAAGCTGTTAGCTTATGAATGTTTCTTGACTAATACTAATAGACAAGTGTGCAATGGAATATATGCTTCTCTGTTGTTATTAAAGTGCCATCTATATTTATTTGCATATTTAATCAGTGAAGGAAGAGCATTATAATACTGCAGCTTGAGTAGTTTTCTCCCTGCTGGCCTCTCACTGACTTATCAGCCCAAAACCACTGCCAGAGGTATGGAAGCCACAGATGAAGTCTCGAGTCAAAAACTGCTTCTGAAGCTGACGTTTAACGAGTCCTTCCTGTCCTCTGAATGAAGCAGCCCTTGAATGAGTTCAGACGGACGTCTATTTCACCTTCTTCAATCTGTAAAAGCAATTTTGGAATCAAAAAGTTTTACAAGAAGTGGTTGAGTGAAAATTTAAAAACGTACGTTTTCATGTCCCTGGCCTTTTACTTCGTAGATTCTGGATTTGTAGTTTATTATTATGTGTTTTAATATTTTTTGGGACGGGGGCAACATGTTACACACATTTATTTGGTTTCAAATAGGTTCTAGGTATTTTTTTCGGATTTTTAAAGTCTCGAAATTCACGACCATGACGTGTCCCTAGGGTACATTTTCCAACTTTCACGCTGTTTTTAGACTAATTATTCATGCCGAAATATATAAAGCCATATTTTTATGTCATCAATGGTTATTAAACTTAAAAAAAGGAGCATATTATAATTTTATTGTCATTGCAAACTGACTACCATGACAAAATAAGTCTGTCCCTCGATTTGGCGTCACGACTGTTTGGGAAAAATTTTCAACTTTGGAGCACGACAGTGGCAAGCCTGGCGTCGATGGAGTCAGTTGGTTTTAGAGACTAGTTCGGGGTGTACGTCAGGATTGTAGTGCCGGTCGTTTCGAGTTAAAAGGAGGAATTACAAGATTAATAAAGGAAAGATTGTGTTTTTTGTAATTTTGGTGTGTCCATGACCGTACGTAGTCATTCGATGAAGTAGACATGATGTTATTTTTTGTTTATAAGATATTTCAATTGCTAGATTAACCTAGAAGTCCACTTTGTATCCTCGAACATGAGGTGCAGGGCTACCGCCAGAACAGATCCAAATAACACGTAATTTCACGACCAAGGTTTCACGACCATCGCGGTTTTTTTCACGACCGATCCAGCCTTATGGATTATAGTGTGTTTGGTCGTGACAATAACTTTAATATAATTGTAAATTGAACAGTTTAGTTCAATTGAAACACATAATTTTATTATATCTAACAGTATAATTGAAGGATTGTTTAGAAAGATTTAGATTATTCCAGACAATTCACGACCGTACCTCTTGTCCCTGACCATCACGTTTATGATTTCTATCATAAAAAATTCAAAAATTAAAATATCGTCATATTTCAATGTTTTATACACAAAAGAAGCACACCTCTATACAAACATAACGATTTTTCGGGTCTCTGGTAAGTTTTTTCGGAGTTATACAAACGTAAAAAGATTTTATTGGCTTTTTTCAATTTTTTGAGTTTTTTTATTTTTTTCTAGAAAGACTAAATATACCAAAAGCTCAGTGTTCTTTTTATTGTATAATGGTCATAAAAGTAAATTAGTTTATAGCAAAACATAGTTATAAAAATAATATTAACTATTTTTAATATTCATTTAAACGTCCGTTATGGTCGTGACAGGATTTTGTGTTTTTCCACTAAAGATGCTCTTTAAAAAAAAAACTACCAAAGATATTGCGTTACCATGGACATTTTATGAAACTTCAAATGTTAATAAAATACCCCCGCCGCAGCAAACCTGCAAACTTAGCGAATTTCCATTCACCTGATTGGATTAACACTAAAATGTCTCCTTAAAAATATAAAATGTATTCCCTATTTAAACAGAATTAGCTTAACCAGTACTTAGGTTTGCTGCAACAGGGAGGGTAAGAAAGTTTTTTTTTATGTAAAATGTTAAAAGGTACTGTAGTTTAGTAAGAAATTAATGTATTTTCCAAATTTGATCAAAATATGTTCATAAACAAGCAAACTACAAAAGATGACTTATTCTCCATAAGAATAACATGGGAATTTTAAAATTAAAATTTTTTTGAATTTTCTCCGTAACAATTAGGCACATAATTACGCTTCAATATACTAAATTATTTGTTTTTTTTTAAGCTCTACAAAATGGTTTGGAAAGAAATTGTGAATTTTTTTGTTTTTAGGGTCAAAAATGTGAAAAACCTATTTTTACCCCATAAAACAGACCCCCGTTCCCATAGTCCGATCATGCTGTTTCGCGAACTCATTCAAGTTTATCCCGCCTTACACATTTAAACCAAATTTCATCAAAATCGGATAAAAATGACTCAAGTTATCGTGTTCACGGACACATATATATATATATATATATATATATATACAGGGTGTCCGGTCATAAGTGTTAAATAAAATTTTGCATTAAACTACATGGTAATGGTGACATAAAGACGCACATTTGAGGTTCCCAACCTCAACCGTTAGGGAATAACAAATAAATTAAGGTTTTCCAAAAATTATTGTAGTTGTTATGAAAAAGGTTATATAACTCTGTTAAAAATACACTAATTGTTAATTTAAATGTCATTTTCAGAATCCTCACAAAATTTTAAATATATATAACACATAATCGTTGGGGTACGGAAAAATATTCTATTTAAATTTCTTCGTTAAACAATTATTTTTAATATCGACGAAAATTTAAATAACATTCAGGAATTTATTTCTCGGTTACCGAGATCCGATGAGTTAAACAAATACTACTAAAAACTTCCTTATTTAAAGGGCTACACATCTGCTTGCGTATTAAATAAGTAAAATAGATAGATATAGATACTTGACGTAATACGCCAAAAACACGAACTCCAATTATACAGCAATTGCATGATTTTTACATTTTTAGTGGGCTATAAGTAGGAATGAACGGGATTGCACTTATCAACAACTTCTAATCTTTTTTCTTGAGCACCCAGTCTAAATAATCTTAAAGTAATTGGAGAAGGCAGGTGCCATGCATTAAAATAATATCTAAAATTCATAACTACCGCGACATCTAGGGTACGCAGAATCCTAATGACTAATTCCAAACTACCAGAAATCAGCTGTGAGCCCTATTATGTTCTGTAATAATATTACACGCCCGGATGGTGCTGGGTCTTAAAAAAAGTACAGTAATGTATAAGACTTTGACCCAAACAATATTAACCTCAATTGCCAAATCGTCTATGCTGATATATTAGAACGGTTGGTAATAAATTTACGAAGCTTAACTTGATAATTGATAAAATATTATCTGCTTTTATATTAATTTAGAAATAGTCAATGTGGACATTTCAATACAAATAGGCCATAAGTGATACCTAGTAGGCTATATAGCTACAACATTATTTTCTGTATGACGTGAGAATCACCTCGGAACAATTATCGACGGAGATTTTAATGCTACCCAATTATATGCATATGAATGAATGTGTGGGTTTATATTAACTCAGGTAAGTTTATTATCAAACCCAGCATGTCTGTAAATGAAAAAGAACTGTTCTTCAATATTATTAAAAGGAAGTTAAAAAGATATTTTCTTTGTGTCTAAATTATATCAAAATTGGCCATGGGAGTTTTATATTTATACAAATCTACACAATCACATTATCTGTAGGCCCTACAGTTTGGTTTCGTGGTGGCCCAAAAGTGATTTTTCTACCAAAAAGTCAAACTCAAAAGTTAAAACGAAAAGAATAGCAAAAAAGAAGAAATGCAAATCTTTAAATGTTACGTGTTGGGAAATGTTAATAACTACACGTAATAATACTTTGGTGACATAAAGAACCATGTAATCATTTTTTACAATTTTTTAATTTGACTTAATAATGGAATGAAAACAATAACTGTGTGACATACTTAACTGATTACTTAACTGATACTTAACAGATTACAAATAACTCTATCCTTGCGAAACTCTAAATGCGCAAAACCAACATAGCAACAAAAGCGCAGCTTATAGACACTCTTATTCTAATTCTAGTTTTTTATCACAATCAAAAATTCAATATAGCTACTCAGACCTTTGCTAGTTTGGTAAACAGATTTAAAATGCTTGTTAAGAACAAGAGAACGCATAACGAGTACCAAAGCCAAAAGTTTGTTTAACACAAGTTCTAAGTTTTACACGTGTATTAAATAATGTTAAAAAGTAGTTAAGGCTAATAATTTGCCCCCCCCCCTCTTTGTAAAAACATACAAATAACTTGAAATTAACAAATTTGTCACCATTTTAGGACAGTTGATGTATGCCTAGCAAAAAAACAGTTTATATTGATTTCACATAAAATTGATATGCTTTAGCCTAACTACTGAAATTATGTCAGGCATCTGTACCTCATCATATAATATAACAGTTATGTCAAATAAAAGTAGTTTACCATCAGGGCTAATAATTATAAAGATAAATAATTATAAAGATAAATAATTATAAGATTTTACTCTGGGTGAAGAATTTCGCTTTACAGCCGCCACGCCTTTTTCTCTCGCAAAACCACTTCTTTCTTCCACACACTAACACCGATTGCAAATTGAATTTAAAGTTATTAAACATCAAGGACTCTTTGCCCTTATTACTAAAAACCAACTCCGCACAATCTTCCATGGTCTTCACGCTTTGAATGTTTAAAAACTGATGCGAAATCCTAAATATGCCGAAATGTAAGGGTGACGCAGCATTCTTATGACTAATTCCAAGATACTTCCCTCCATGCCGGAAATCGGGTGTCAACAATCCTACGCTGTTACCTGGTACGCTGTTACGATGTTACGCATGTTACCTACCCCCGTAAAAATATTACACGCACTGGTATATAGTACTGGTTCTTTAACGTAAAAGTAATGCATACATTTTAGTTCAACCTAAACTATGTTAACCACATTCACCACATCGTGTATGCAGATGCATAAGAACGGCTGCTACTGAATTTGCCTTCTTCACTAACAATGTAATTTTCCAAAACTTAACTTTATTTCTGATCAGAATTTTAACAAATCTGCTTTTATATACAGAAATGATTAGTGTGGTGCACATTTGTATAATACTATGCTATAGAGATACATAGTAAGCAATGTAGCAACATAATTGTTGTGTAGGATGTGACAATCAACCACGCAAAAATATTGACGAAGTTTTTTAGTTACCTAATACTTATGAATAAATGTAATTGTTTTGATTTTAAAAATTAAATATCAATAATATTCACAGTTATTGTTTAACAAAAAATAGTGATAGAAAATATACCACATCACTTATTGCATTCAACATTACAACATGCAAAACTAAACATGTATTGGACTTCCGTGCCGACGTAAAACCTTGTATAACTTAAGTTTTAAGTTGAACTTTTATCGTTAAATAATCATATTATCTTCCATAATACTCAATACAATAAGGGGTTTTCGTCATAATAAAGCAAAACATTCATATTTATACCTCATGCGTTGCGGGTCCAAAGTAACATTTTTTTCCATAGGGAGTAAAAAGTTGTTGCAAACAGTTGTAAATTAATCAGGCAAAGGTTTAGCCTAATGTTGCATTGTTGACAGTAGCTGGACATATCGATGGTATAATGTATTGTAAACACAATCTTAATAGAAGAAATTATTTACTCACTTTCTAAATAGCAACTTATTTACAATAAGTTATTAGAATATATGTGGAATTCAATTCAATTAAATTCAATCATTTATTTTCACATAACGTTTACAAATCCAGCATAGCTGGGAAACAGGTGAAATGGTCATATACATAAAATACATAAAACTATAATAACTACAAAATCAAATAAATACATCACCTAAAAAATCATTAACTTTATAATACGCTCTGTCAACCAGCAATTTGGCAACTTCTTTCTTGTATTTTTCAAACGGTTATAGTAATTTAATATTTTCAGGCAGTTTATTGTAAAATTTTTTCCCTAGATATTGTGGAAGGGTTTCAAGTGAGGTAATATATTATATGGAATATTATATGGAATATGTTAAATGTCTGCTCCTTCAATATTTTTAGCTCTTAACTGTATTTGAAAATTCATTGAGACATCAGCAAACAGCTTTAGCAAAATATTTGCGTCCATCCCTGTATATTATAATGGTCATGTTCATGTAAGAGATTCCCGTTTCTCCCTCGCCCCTCCCAACTACCTGGCCCGCCGTCGTGGCTTTCGTTCCCAGGATTAAAACTTCTCAAACCCTCGCTAATTGCCGTGGCTTACGTCCCCCCAGCTTATAGAGATAAACATTCGTGGCTTTCGGCCTGCGCCCCCTATAGTAATACCAGAAACAAAAGAACCCTGGGCCGTTTCGAGCCGCGTAGGTTTGAAGGGTAAGCCACACCTACCGGCGCGAACCACGTGATCTTTTCGTTTCTGCGCAGGTTGTTTTGTTTGTGGTATGTCTATAACTGGATGTATATTTTCCATAGGTTACGACAGGAATTAATGTATAAATTCACCTCTGCCCCTTCCAATTATGTAGAGATCAGTTCGGCTGACAAAACTTTAACTTACTACGAGTTCCAAATCGGCCTCTGTCATCAACTTGGACTTTGAAATACCAAGTGTATCAAAATGCTTGTTAAAACTTTGAAATATGAAAAGATTCTCTACGGAACTGAGATTTTATTTTGAATCACCAAAAGTAACTTTTGTAACCCAAGTCAATAAAGAGCATTGTTGGTATGGGTATGGCCGTGACTGTTTCTGAGGTAGGCCTATACTCACCTGATCCTTGTAGTAGATGTGATGGTAGCAGGTAGGTGATATGCATTCTCTCACACACTTGAATCTCTCAAGACCCTTCAGTGCGGCACATGTTGGGCTCTGCTCACAAGCTGACTCAAACTCTCTGAATGCCACTTCCTGGACACAACAAAGTCGTAAAAAACAGTATCCACAAAACTCAGTACTCCTCAGGGGTCCACGCTTTCTTTTTGTGAAAATGATTATTTTGTTTCAGCAGATTTCTTCTTTAGAAATGAAACTGGGAATCCCCGAATCCTCAGAGGCAAAAGCATGCAAAATATGCTCATACAAGGCGTCCCCATCTAATATTAATAAAAGTATGAATGTGTAGTCTTCTGTTAATTAGCCTGTGTTCATTTCTGATTAAACATGCCAGTCAGTTATTTCAGAGGAGTTATTTCTAGACCCCCTAAACATAGCAAAGCAACTTATAAAATTAATAGTTGTATTTGGCAATATTTCTTTAAACATTACATCTTTACGAATCTCTATATGGAAGAACACTACTTGATATAGAGTGGTGAACTTTATATATTTCACTGGTTGGAAATATACTTCTTTATATAGGCCTATACATTTCATTTACTGCACTCAAATACCATACAACATAGCTTCTTTAAGTCAATCTTATACTTATTTTATTTTATACATACCAACGGCAGAACCATTTAAAAATAATCAATAAACAGTTATCAAACTTATAACACACTAGCAGAGTACCCGTCCTTCGTACGGGGTTGGCGTATAAGTATAAAATGCTTATTTCAGTTATTGGCTTTGTGTTTGCGATGGGAGAGGGAACACGGTTTAAGAAAATTTGGTTCTTTTAATTTACGGTATGCTATAGTATAGCCCATCTACCTTAGCCATAATGTTCTACCAATGCACCTAAACAATAGAAAAAAGTAAAGTTCTAATTGTATATCACAGCTTGGTAGCTAGTTGGTTCAAATTAGCTTTTGTCATAAATGTATAAGAATAAATAGTGCTACACCCTGTTGGTAAACTTTATAACTTTTAGTTTTGATGCTATTCGCTATTCAATAACATAGAACCAACTTGTGTGTAGTTGAAACAGTAAAAAAATCTTTAATTCCTTTTAAATATGATACTCATAAGGTTAACATGGGAAACTCCAGATCCACTGGGGTGAAGCCCAAAAGGATTTTGAGATAAGAATATGTCTATATGTTAATTAGGAATGTGAGCTATCACCATACCAAATTTCAGCCCAATCCAACCAGTATATAGTTAATGAATGATTGAACTTTAAACAAACAAATACACAAACTTTTACATTTATAATATTGTATTGATAGTCAAAGATATTAGTAAGAAGTAAGATTAATAACAATGTAACAATCAATAGAAAACTAAAGAAAATCAACAAATATATAATAAATAACTATATCTATACTTATTTTATACGCAAGCAGGATTTTTGTGACAATTACTCCTCCGAAACTACTGAACCGAATGACATGTTTTTGGTGTCATTGGAAAGAGCTTAACGTGAAGTTGTGCAGGAAACTTTCTTTTTTGGGAAATAATTTAGAGAGGGAGGATAATGAGTGAACAATTTCACATGTTTGTTGCTCCTACTCCTCTACAGCACAGTTCCAAATACAAGGGTGTTTTTCGATTTCACTAATAAAGTCTTCAGTGTTCAACTTTGTGTCGGCCAACTTCTGACACTTTTTCATGAGCTCTTCTTGCTTTTTATTTGCTTCTTTCTTTTGTTCGCCTTTCGGAGGTTCTTCTTTTTTCTTCATATCTTCGCGTATCCCTTCGACTGAATCAGATGTAGACATTTTATCAACTGAAGTGAACAATTCACCCACTTACAACACAACAGAACGCAACACAACAGTGTGCAAGTACCCCCGTGATATGAACTGACCGAGTGGTGACGTGATGATACTGGCGACCTAGTGTAATAAGCTCCATATGCTACAACGCAGCGTCGCCAATATGGGTAGCCAGTGGCTTGGCTACCGCAGTGGCGACGGGGCTCGGTAGCCAGTCGGTCGCCAAAGTTTGGCTGCGTCGTTGGCTACCCTCATGTAATAACATCCATAAGAATCAATGACCCTTGACAAGCTGAGTAGCCAGTTTGGTCGCTGGCGACGTCACCAGGCTACCTCGTCTAATAAGGGCCTAGTAATCATTGAAAGAGCCGATTTGCAAACTCTGGAAACATAGGAAAGTCATAGAACACCACCAAGAAGAAGAAATAGAAATATTGTTTTTTTTTAATGTATAATCGTTTTTATGGACAACCTAATGCGGCTATGAGTAAGGCTATTTGTAGAAAAAACTAAAAAACAAGATCGGCTTTTGAAAAATTATAAGATATTTACAAGAAATGTTGATTATATCGATCTGTTATGTACATCTTGAGTATTTCCATAATCTTTAAGTCGAATCTTTTAAAGTCATCAGAAATTATTATGACTGATATTCGTTTTAAAATAGCGCCTGTAATACTTAGCAATTGCTCGAATTCAAGCAACAGGTAAACTAGTATTAATAAATATAATAAATAAATATCATGAAACTCAACAAGTAATAAATAGCATGAGACTCGTCAGACTCGACAACAAAAATAAATATAAATATAGATTTTTGATAGATACACAACCGTACTGACTGCTGGCCATAAGACTGTTTATTATAGCATAGATAAAAGGAGTCCTTTTATCTATGATTATAGATACACAAGCAGATCATACAATATTTTTAATTTGCCATCACTAAATAATATTTTATATTGCTTGTGTTTTGCAACTTTAAGATTTTCTGTTAGAAATTATGTTGCGTGGAATATATTTATTGTATCACACAATATGTTTTATTTTATTCTGCCTGTAACATTTTCTAACAAAATATTTAACATTAAGTACCTACACGCGGTAACCTTTTTAGTAACAGTAGTTTTAATTGACAGCGATTTTCTAATTTTAATTGACCAAAATATAAGTTTCAACTTTATAAATCAGTAACAGTTTTACATAAACGCACCAGGCACCACCAACACTGCAGTAAGTTATATACACTATGATCAACTTACATTTTTATTGGTTTCCTTGTAGGGATACTCTGGAAATATGAAGTTCGTCTTTTCACAACGCATTTTTTTCATGTAAACACAAACGATTAAATACAGAATAAATACTTTACGTACCATTTGCAAAATTTCCTAATTCTTACAAGAAATGACTAAAACTTAGCATTACAGTACTGATTGAAGCGTCTTCACTTCTAGGATCAATGTTACACTCGCCGGTTGCCGATGCCAAAAGGGAAGGAACATAACCTAACGCTACAATCAGCTGTTGATATTGATCAGGTGGCGTTATGGACAGGTAGCGCTCGGTGCGGTGAGATTGTCAACTTACGCCTGCTTGCAATTTACCTACCACCCCTCCATCCATACCATTCTTGACTGTGCGTCGCCCGGGTATTATCTTTACGGGTAGCATTTGATTTTAGTCGTGTTATTTAATAGTGAGTGAAATTCGTTGGAGGATTATCACCTTCAAACAAACAATAGGTAAGAAAAACTGATTATTTGTACTAGTTATTTTTTTTGTTTTTTATACTGGAAACAGGAGCGGCGTGTTTGCCAAAGCAACAGTTTGCCCCGGGATTGACCATGTTAAGGTTAATGTACACTGTTGAGTTTACAACTAAAGTATATTGAACTCATGTATGTTGTACGTTTACCATAATTCACTTAACAAGTTTATAAGGATTATTTCACTGTATTTAATTGGTAAAAAACTAATCCAAATATATTTTTAAATAATAATTGTGTTAACTAACTTATCTAGATAAATTAAAGTACATTAAAAAGATTGTGTAACTGCAAATATTCTATTAGCTAAGATAATGTGTAGACATAATAAATCAAAGTTAGGTAGTTCAGTGGGTGCTCTCTTGGTGATAAATAGTCACCGGTTCGATCTTGATAAAAGTTAGTAGCTTTTTGATGGTTTAAAACTGGACCCAGCTGTCCTTGATCATTGGGCTTTTGATTAACATCCTGGCTAATGAAGCAGCTGATCTTATTCAGTAACAAAATCTACATTCTCTTGATTGTACCTTGACTTTGAGATAAATGCATGTTTATTAGACCGAAAAAACAGTATTATTAACATTTTCTTACTATCCTCGTTAAATAAAGTTTTACTACCCCTAAAATTCCCAGGATAAAATACCAGAACAAGTGAATAAAAAAATAGAGGCTTGCAATGTATGAACAAATGCGACCATTTTAATGGTACGATTTGTTTTTCAATCATCGGTTGAGGAAAGAGGATTTCTCTGCGAATTTTTCTCCCAGCATTATGCGATTTCCACTGTCAAGAAGGCTCAGCATTGTTTTCTTATGGGGGTTTTTGCTGTAAAATCTGTAGGGGATTTGAATTTTACCATTTGAAAGTTAAGAACTCTGTTTTAAATAAACTATCTCAAGTAGTTTGAAAAATGTTTCGATAACAACTAATGATTACCAATCTCTTCTTAGTTACATAATACTTTAAAACGATTTACTTGCTGCTAAAACAATAAAAAATTAATATTGATTTTTAACCTTTTATATAATCATTTATGATATAACTGGTTTTAAGATCTTAATCTCTAACGATTATAAATCGCTAATCAAAATGATGCTATATATATCTAATTAGTGTTTCGTTTTTTGAGACCAAATCTTCTACCTAACGTTCATAAGGAGTACTAACTTTTGTTGACAAAATGTCTGATTGATGATTATTAACAGCACACTTGAATAGATGGTCTTTACGAGATATTAACAGCAACAATTATTTTTCGATAAACACCTTCCTACCACGTACGAACCTTAAGTAAAGGACTGTGTAGAATAACTGGTAAAAATACTGATCATGCGTTAGCTGTTGAATTTGTTTTTATTTATAATTGTTTGTTTATTTTTTCCTGAGCTAATTTTTTGATTCTTAACGCAGATTTTATATGTTTAAATTTAGATAAAGTTTTTGGTTTTGATCCTGCCACACAGCAGATGCAGTGCAGTACATAAACCCAGGATATGTTATAAGCTGTACAAATAACAGAGCGTGTGTTGCTAGCTAGCCTAGTGGTTACCGCCTGGATAGGTGCGGGAGGGACGGGTTCGAGCCCCGGCACATCAACAAATATTATGGGTTTGGACCGCTTTATGGTAAAACATACTTCCTTTTGTGATTCCCAGTATAAAAATGCTACCGGCGTGGATATATAAAAAAAGAGTGTGCCTCAAAATAAATAATGGGTACGAAATTGTTTTAAAAGTAAATTTAAAAGTAAACTAAATACAGTGATTCTCGTCTATATCTTGTTGTGAAGCACGGGTAAAAAAACTAGTTGACTGAAAACCAAAAACTTTTCCGTGAAAAGAGTTGTAAAATCTGTCTTTAAATTTTGACCTGTCTAAATAACATTTGACAGTTATTTTGAATGATCAGTAATGTTGTATAAGTGCTGATGACTACAATGCAATTCGTCGTCCATAACAGTGATCGTAGAATACTATTATGTCCGTTTCGGAGCTAAGATTTTCTTGAACATATTCATTATTGTTTTCCAATCCCATCCAAATCATAACAATGACGTTTACAGAATGAACGTCTGGTGAATGCTAAATATTATCTGAATATTGTGATGTAAAAGCTCCATAATACTCCGTCTCTGATGTGGCCCATACACATAATTATGCTGCTGAGCGTTGCGTGTATTTTGGCGTTGATGACTCACCCACCCCCTCATAAAACATGCTCTTATTTTCCTTAGAGATTTTTTTTCTGGTCATGACTTGCTAAAAATATGAACAGTATAAATGTGTCCTATATTTAGTTTTTTATATGCCCTTGCCCATCATACGATTAAAAGACATGTTTTGATTTTATACGTATTTTTGGCCTTTGACCAATTTAGCTTTCAAATAAAAAGATAAAAAAATTGGGCTCTTTCAGCCATCTATGAACTTTCCATTTGATGTGCCATTAAAAGCGGTAAGTTTATCACTATTATCCTAGCTATAAATATAGCTTATAAAAGCGTTAAAACTCCAATATTCAAATTGAGTCACCTGGTATAACAATTGCTGCAGTATTTACTACTGCATAATTTTTTAAGTAAACCCGATACAGAACTGTAAGATTTCTCACATTGCAAATCAACAGAATGCATTATACTGTAGTGTTTAATAAGGAGTAGGCTATGCAATAGTTGATATTAGTTGTATATGTGGAACCTTGATAAGAAGACCCTCGATAACAAGTCGCCCTTGATAACAAGTGTCATTTTCAAATCCCCATGAGAGTCTTGCTATCAAGGTTCTACTAGTATAATTATTGTTACACGTTGAGATCATATCAGTCTTTTACTATACTTTACTGGATATGGTAAAAGGCTGATATATAAAAACATTAAACAGGAAACTGATAAATGGACGAAACACATCTGATGGTATTAGATTAAGAAGATTCAGATAGATTAATGTTGAAAATCCGGTTTGTTATATAAAAGCCATACGGTATTTTTAGGGGCCTACACATTATGTTTACATGCTCTCGGAAAGTCCATATAAGATGAAAATGTATCCAAACGCTTTTACGTGATGGATACAGATAATCATCAAAAGATTTATTTCTGTTTCAATCAAGTATGATGATTGTAGGAGGTGAGTATTGGTAACTTCGTGGTTGTTACTCGATAGGAAACCCCGTGAAAGATAAACAATTAGAAAGCTACAACTGGAGTTTTCAATTAAACGAGAGAAACAAAACATTGTTATTATTTGCTCGTGGTTCCACAGGTGATTGTTCAGCGCTCAATCAATTAATTAATTCAATTTATCTGACGGCTCTGGAATGTAGTTGAGGGGGCTATAATACGTGTGGAATCCACTAATTTAATATTGACACTAAACTAGACCTATTAATATTGCATTATTTGAAAGTTATAATAAAAATAGAGGTCTGGAATTTCAATAATATAAATTGCCAAAGATATTCTCTGAATATATCAAATAGAATTTATACGATTTAGATTAAAAAGTTACAAAATACCTTCCATTAATCGTGTTCTTCACATGATAGACATAGGATGTTCATAGGAATGTCCGTGAATTTTATTAGATGTTAAAGGAACTTCATATTAAATTCACAACAATTGTGGCCCTCTACGTCAATAGACGATTCCCGCAAACTGCATATTTATATCTATTGCCGTTTTTGCATAAATAAAGAAGCAAGTTTAAAAAAAAACACCCTGTATACTCTTCCACGCATCAATCCCTGCAGATTGAAGTCTTTGTCGTCCGTCAAGAAAATGCTTTGATACATGAGCACATTAATTTATGCAATTCAATTATTTGTATTGTACAGTTTTTGTGATGACGCATCCAATTTGATTAATTATGAAACCTTTATTTGTGTTGATTATTGTATGTTTGAATTTTTTATGAACAAATCTTTCACCGTAGCAAAGATTAATTATTAATGACATGCAACTAAATTTTATGAAAAAAAAATGTTTATGTGGGAATGATTTAAAAGGATAATGCTAAATAAAAGTATTAAATTATATTGTATTCATTATTCCATATTTTTATCACTACGTGTATGTAAGAAAACCTTGTCTGTTCATAAACCTTTGAAGTTTAGTCGTTAAACACAAACTTTCCTGGTTTGTAATTAACGGTTTAAATTAACCTTCTGTTAGTCTCATCTTGAAGACAATTTTCAGTTTTTCAATTTCCTCCACTGTACAGAATATACAGTTTGAACTTAAATTACATTGTAGATTTACTTTGTAGAAAAGCTTAGCGGAACTACTTACAAAATCAATAGGAATGCGAAATTGATTGTGTTGGTATTAAAGGTTCTATGTTTTGTAGATTCTATGTTTTGTTCCAAAAACATATTTACAGTCTAACTTCAGATTGTCTTGGTTGTAGATTCCTATTGTACTGTAATAGATTTATTCCGTAGATTCTATAAGAAATTGATACAAGACTAGCACACGTATTATTAGACTTAGAAAAACCCGAAACAATATATCAGTAAACAAAGTCAATTGAACACTTGTGTGATAAGCAAGACTTTATGACATGATAAATACACCACTTACGAAACTGTATTTTAGGCCCACTTCTAACTCAGTTCTGTTAAAAATGGAGTTTTCTTATAACTCAGTTTCAAGGTGGTTCAATAATTTAGCATGAAGTGAAATAATTTATATTTTGCTTCAATTAATTAAATGGTTTTCATACAACATTAGAGATATCATATTTCTGGTGTGTTTACGAATCGGGTGTTATTAATTGCAATAGTCTTATTAAGGCCTCTTACCTAAATTAGAGCTTGGGAAACGAATACTTTCATTGATGTCAGCCGTTATCGAAAATTGTCAATTCCGTTACGGAGTGATGAAAATAATATACCGTCTAAATACCGATTAAAAGTTCAGTGTAATTTAAAAAATGCTATGTTTCACCAGATGTTGGAAAATTGTTTAAATTAACAGCGTAGCTAGTGGAACATATTAAATTTGATTTACCTTTGAGTCAATGCTTTTACCTATAAGGACTGAGGATAACATCCGTCAATTCAATAAAACTCGTACGAGAAAATAAGGTAAACCATTAAGTGATATCTACAGTAAACAAGAAAGTCCTGCAGCGCATGTCGACAACTCCGATACTGTGAGTAGCACATTGATTGAAAAGTTTAACATGCAGCTTTTAGAAGATCTATAATTAGATTAAAACAATTTGTTATATTATTAACATCATAGCAACATAGAAAGTGGCAGAGTTACATATTATCTTAAATTTATGCTTAAAAGAGACAAAATACTTACATAATAATAATCTAAATCCGTATTTTAATTAAATGGATGATAGTTAATTCCTATGTTTTGTTATTTGATTCTTTATACCGTTTGGGTTAATCTTTTTGTAGGGAAACGGTCCAAACTCTTGTTTACCTAAGGTCAAAGTTTTGTTAGATATATAATCATTAATTGATGTTGAGTAATTAATTATGTCAGTAAGTAAATTAAGCGCATTCATATTATTTTATGCCAACCTGTAGGTAGAGCATTTAAAAACTAGGTTCATCCGTATACACGTATTAGAATTGACGGACTAGCTCTAGAAATAATTTGAAATACATTACGATGAACACGGGTTTTCGACTTTAAAGCTGTTCTTACTTTGTAAAGTCATATTTCTAACCGTCACTTGCAATAATAATGCTGTTTGAAACATGATGCACAAAAGTCGTTTATCAGATGAATGCTATTTAGGCCAATACAGTTTATCCTAAACCCCAGAGACAAGTTCAAACAAACACTCAATCAAACTCCTACGTCTCTGCAACTCTCCCACAACGTCAATAGATGCCCGCAGATCACTTACCTTATAGAGGTAATCTAGGTTAGTGTAGTCATACCTAGCCTGGTAGATGCAAACAAACATTTGAAAATTACTCTAAAATAAGATGGTAGCAATCTATTGGACTTGGAAATACATATACAACATCGGAATGAAACATGGAATAAAGAATTGTTGAATTGATGTAATTACCTAAGTATATATACCGGGTATCCCATAATTGTCCCCCCTGGTTATTTTTTAAACGGCTGCATAAATTCAAACGAGCTTCGATACACATTACTAGGGTAATGCAAAGTACTTTTTGGAGGTTTTTTTGAAATTCACCACCCATCCCAAATAGGGGTAACTGGGGGTAATTTAAAATGCTTGAATAGCAACCCCTATCAAATAGCACATTATTTTAAATGCCATTTGTTAAAAAGAATATCGGTGAAAACCAGAGGTCTCTATCTCAACCCATTACAGAATGGTAGCCATTTTTTTATTTGTCATCAGCCTGAGAGATAAATTACACCCCTATTAGCGTTTTTATGGGTTGAACCAGGGAAACTAAACTCTTATTATTGCAAAAACAAAGTAAAAACTACTTTTTGATCAGTATGACAATTTTTCCCGTATAAATACGCTAATAGGGGATATTGGTGTATATTTTTACATGGACTCTCTCAGGTTGATGAAAAATTACAAATTACCGCCATTCTTCAATGGGTTCTATCTGACCTCTGGTTTTCGCTGATATTCTTTTTAACTAATGACCTTTAAAATTATGTGCTACTTGATAGGGGTTGCTATTTAAAAATTATAAGTTACCCCCAGCAACCCCTACTTGGAGTGGGTGGTGAATTTCAAAATACCCTCAAAAAGTACTTTACATTACCCTAGTAGCGTGTATCGTAGCTCGTTTGAATATATTCAGCCGTTCAAAAGTTAACCAGGGGGGACTACTGTATAATGGGACACCATATGTTTTATATTTTATGAATATTTCACACTTATTATAACTTCTACATTAAATTTACTTTTAGAACATTTTACCATCGAAATTTACTGTCCAAATACGTTGGATTCATTGTTCTACACTACATTTATATAATGCTCGTTAATATAAGAAACGTTTGATAATATCTAATGACCGTTGTTGATATGGCCAATTAAATTATTACTCTCTGGTGAAAACAAAGGCAATGATTTAATTTGAAGCAAACAATTCGAGTTTTTCCTTACCAGTAGGTAAATGTCATATCTTTTAGTCTATCTTGACTTCATATGATTTAGTTAATAATTCAAATAAGGTCAAGACAGATGATAATTGTTTTTTCAATGTTTACATTTTACTTTATTATAGTTAATCATAACAATTTTCAATAAAAGAGTTTCTTCAAATGTGTGTTTATTATGAACTCTAATTCAAAGTCACAACAATTATTTGGCGACGAAGGAAAAACAGAATTATTACATGTAAGATTGCTAAATTTTTCAGAATTTGTGTTCAAATTATTTTGTATTCAAAATGAATGCAGATCAGTTCAATCAATTCCTTACTATCTTTCAAGAACAACAAAGACAACAGCAAGAAAACCAGAACAAGTTTATTAAAGAAGTATTAGAAACTGTCTTAAAACAGAATGATCAACAGACTGAGATACCTCGGGTCAACTACTCAAATGTGGCTCCTTTTGAAAACTATGATCCAAAGAAAGAAAAATTTACATGTTACCTAGAACGTTTTGAAAACTATTACACCATGAAAGGCCTAACAGACTCAACTAAGATTGGACAGCTACTGTGCATCTCTATCGGCAGTGATCATTATAACAATCTTAATTCTTTTCTAGGCCCCGAGAAACAATTGAAAAGTCTCAACTATGATGAGCTTATCACAGCATTCAAGCAGTTATTGATTCCTAAAAAGAACGTTGTAGTATCTCAACACTATTTTCTAAATGTATTTCAAAAAGAACACCAATCAATAACAGAATTCGTGGCTTCCCTACAACGTGACATTGCTGAGTGTGAATTTTCTGTCAAGTGTTCATGTGACCAGACAGTTTTGTACCGCTTGTTTCTACTTGCAGTACAACTTAAATTTACATTGATAAAATAAAATAAAATACTCTTCTTCAGGATTCATCAAATAAAAACTTCTTCATTCAAATAGAATAATACTTCGGTTTATTAAATCCTCATTTCCAAATACATAAATTGGTATCAAAATAGAAGTATAATAATAAAAACCCTGAAAACAAACAATTGATTTAATATTCTCTAGATATTTAATTTAATAGTTTCTTTTTAGAAATTCTTTTAAAGACAAATTTATTTGGTACTTACGTATTAAACGGAGGCCACATTTTGTCAGCGCGCTGCGGCGGTTATGTTAGGTTGGGTTATCATAATAGAAAGTATAACTCGTCTGGTATCGTTCGATTCATAACGAAGCGAGGAAAGTCCTACACACATAATATTTACGATAACCCAACCTAACATAACCGCCGCAGCGCGCTGACAAAATGTGGCCTCCGTTTAATACGTAAGTACCATTTATTTACTATACATAATTAATCAGAATTAAACTTTTATTTTTGAGCAAGTTCTTTAACATTTTACAATTTTTAACAAAAGGTTTTTTATTACTTTAAATGATTGTTTTGGTTGGCATGGCAAGATTAATTTAGTCCTACTTAATAAAATTAAATTTACTCACCCAATCGGGGTTTAACCAAACACACTACATAAAAAGGCACAACTCAAACTTTAACTACTTGCAGATGAAACAAGAACGAACTAAGACCGAGACACGTGGTCACCGGGCTTATATATACGAGGAAGACCAGCTTCCAGAACATTCTACCAAAGATGAAATCTGATTGGCTGAAACCATTCTTGCCTTGCCATTACATGTTTTGCTACTCTCGACTTGCAATTTATTGAAATATTGTACAATATGGTACAGTTTCAATTGCCGAAGTTTTCCTGAGAGCCCAGTTTATTCGAGGTTTGCGAGATGACTGGCTACGAGAACAAATTCTACAGTCAACTGAAACTACTTTTGAAGGAATCCTTACCAGAGCAATCGCCCTCGAAGCATCAAAAATTGAATCCAGGGAACTGTCTAAACGTTCACATTCAAGTAATGCAAATTTCAATATATGTGACGATGTGAATAAAGTTTCACATAAAGCAAGGAAATCTCAATTCCAAACCGGTAATCGACCTTCCAGACAGCAACAGGGTCACTCCTCACGCTCTCGAAAACGTCCAGATCTGAAATCTCTTGGAATTGGTAATCTTTGCTTCAGGTGTGGAAAAGACAATCACCAAGCATCCGAGTGCCGCACCGACAAATCTAAGCTCAAGTGCAACAAATGTAACAAGCAAGGACACATATCTAAAGTGTGCATTTCGACCCTTATCGCAGAACAGAAGAAAATCAATTCTCCCAGTGCAGCCAACTACTGGGTGGCCCATAAGTCAGTTGACGCTTGCAATTTTTTTTTTTTAAATTTTAGCAGTTGGTACCATACACAGCTGTAATACCACAGCTGTTAGGAGTTGTGTTTAGTAATTGTTGTTGTTTAGTTTGAGGTTATGTTTGATAGTTATTCATGATAGTGTGTTCATTGTAATTCGATAAACAATGAATAGAAAGTTAACAACAGAACAGCGTGTATTTGTTTTGCAAACATGGTGGAAACATGGCCATAGTTATAGTGATGTGTGCAATTTGTTTGTAGAACGTTTTCCGAAAGTTCAACCTCCATCTCGACAGTAAATGTTGTTTTTGAGTTATGAATTAATAATAGACATGTATTCCATTTTGTTGTGTATCATTTCATTAAATGAAAATTTGTCAACTGACTTATGGGCCACCCAGTACATCCAGTGCTGTTCTCCTACAGAGTCTACATCGAAATTTTCTGATTACGGACTAAATAAAGTAACTAATGTCAATTCAAGCCCAAAGTTACTAGATCTGTTTGAAGTAAATAACGATTCAGACAAATACATGATCACAGTTAATCTCAATGGTAAACCACAACAATTCGAAGTAGACACAGGAGCAAAATTCTCACTTCTAGCTAAAAATGATTTTGACAAACTCAAATTGGACATTCCATTGGAAACAACTAACATTGCTTTCAGAACTTACTCACGTAATATTATCAAACCTGAAGGGAAAGTGAAAATAAATGTTACTTACTGTGGACGTTGCGTCAAAGAGGAACTCCACATTGTTCCAACAGGACACGAAGCACTCTTGGGACGTCAATGGATAAGAGCCCTAGGAATCGAACTGAACAAATTGAATGAAGACACAAATCAAAGCACTCAAATTTCCCAAATCAAAAGAATCCAGTCTCCTGAAGAAATCTTTCAGTCTTTTTCCAACATTTTTGAAGAGAAAATTGGATGCGTTCCAGACTTCAAAGTGTCATTACAGCTTCGAAATGGTGCAAAACCTATTTTTGTTAAGGAACGAAATGTCCCACATGCTTTAACCGACCGAGTGAACAAGGAATTGGACACACTGGAAAATGAAGGGATCATTTCACCCGTGGAGGCCAGCGATTGGGGATCGCCACTGGTTGTCATTCCTAAACCAGACGGTGGTGTCCGCCTCTGCGTCGATTACAAATGCGGTGTCAACGAGCGTCTAATTCAAGCAAATCATCCTATAAGGCGTATTGATGATGTTATTGACAGTTTGCGCAATTCAAAATACTTTTGCAAACTTGACCTCTACAAAGCCTATTTACATCTCCAGGTGGATGAAGAATCTAGCATGATACAGACAATGACGACTCACAGAGGTACTTATAGAGTACATAGACTCAGTTTTGGCATCAAAACTGCACCATCAGAATTCAACCGCATACTCTCTCAGATCTTAAAGGGGTTACGTAAGACAGAAGCGTATTTTGATGACATTATTGTGCATGGTTCGACCATTGAAGAATGCAGTGAAAATTTACAAGCCTGTCTACAGAGACTCTCTGATTACAATTTACATGTCAACAGAAACAAATGCTAATTTTTTCAAGAAAAAATTGAGTATTTAGGACGAGTCGTAGAGTTCAACAAAATTAGTAAATCTCCAACGAAAATTCAAGCAGTCCAACAGATGCCTCGCCCGTCCAATACTGAAGAGGTCAAACGTCTACTCGGACTTGTGTCGTACTACTCACGTTTCATCCCTGATGCTTCAACTATCACATATCCTCTGCGACGTCTGTTACAGAAAAATATGAAATGGGAATGGAATTCATCCAGTGAAGCAGCATTTTTAAAAATCAAATCAGAGCTCTGCAGTGATCGAGTTCTCGTACCTTTCGATCCGGCTCTCCCTCTAGTACTAACTACAGACGCCAGCCCTACAGGACTTGCAGCCGTGCTTAGTCATGTCACAGAAGGAGAAGAAAAGCCCATTGCATATGCTTCTCGTTCTCTTACAGTTTCTGAAAGAAATTACAGTCAATTAGACCGTGAAAGCCTCGCTATTATTTTTGGCGTGTCACATTTCTACTATTACCTTTTTGGGACTCACTTCACACTAGTAACTGACAATGCACCCATTTCACGGATTTTCCAGCACAACAAAGCACTCCCTCAAATGACATCAGGACGTTTACTCCGATATGCATCTTACTTATCCGGGTTCAACTACACATTAAAATTCAAACCTGGCAAGGAAAATGAAAATGTTGACTGCCTCTCAAGAGCTCCACTTCAGCAAGTAAATTCGACTGTTGATGAAATCATTGCCAATGAAGTCAACCAAGTATACGAACAAATGATTTTCGAGATGTCAGATGAACACATAACCGCTTCAACAATAAGGAGTGAAACAGAAAAGGATCCAGACTTATCAAGAATTGTAAAAGATCTAAAAAACAAGTCTGATGAAACAGAATATACATTGGTTGACGGGATTTTATTTCGCCAAGATCGTGTAATTATTCCAAGAAGCTTACGACCATCAATCTTAAATGAACTTCATTATACCCACCTAGGTATAACAAAAATGAAACAGCTGGCCCGCCGCTACGTCTACTGGCCCAGTATCGACAAAGAAATAGAACGTATTTATTTATTTCTTTTATTACAATGCTGCAAAACAGGATAAACCCAGTTACATTGTAGCATTAATATTCTAACAACAAAATCTTGACATGCATTATAAATAATAAATATGGTAAAAGTTCATCTTGCTGAATAAATTATAATTTTTAGTGTAATCACTCACAACAATACAATATATGACAAAAACGAACTAATATCAATAAATAACGTACAAATAAATATCTTAAAAAATAACATTGGCATTTATTTAAATATCTATAACAACAATAACAAATTAAATAAATAAAATACAACAACAAAGTCTGAACAGAGTAATTAATTTAATAACAATAATTATTTGGTAGTATTTAAATATCTAAAAACGTATTTCCTGAACGTACTGTGACAGTTAAAAAATATGTCTATTTGGTCGTTATTAATTGTGTTAAACAGCCTAACCATTGAGTTGAGCGGCGAACACATTCCAAGGTTCGTTCTAGAGAAGTGGGGGGAGAAGAGCAAACGCGAACGTGAATTGTGTCTGGGCAACGTGAACCGCACACGGGACAGCAGCGCTGCGTCGTCGAGCTCACCACACACCAACCGCCTCAGATACAACATCATTGACACTTTTCGCCTAGTACTCAACTGATCGATTTCAAACAGTGTGAGAAGTTCTGAGTATGGGACCAGCGTCGTATAGTGACCAAATGTTTTGTAATAAAGAAATCTCAAGGACCTTCTTTGGACATCCTCTATGAGATCGGATAAATAGTTCACACTAGGATACCATACCACAGAAGCATATTCTAATCTTGATCTGACCAGTGAACAATATAACAGTTTAATACTTCTCTGATTAGTAAAAATGTTGCCCAACCTGATAAGACCAACAATTGAGAAGGCAGTCTTACAAATGGAAATCACATGATCATTATATGTAAATCTGGAATCAAATATCACACCCAAGTCTTTAATTGAAGTTTTCCTTGAAAGAAGACTACCACCAATATTATAATTATGCATGATGAGGTTACTAGGTGTTTTCTTTGAATATGTTACAACAGAACATTTATCCACATGAAATTTTAGATTGTCACGACTCCAAAGAAACAATCGATCGATATCACATCTTGTAGCATAACACAATCTTGTTGGTTGTTGACAATAGTGAATATTTTGAGATCGTCAGCATATAGAAGAAACTCGCAGTTTATTATCAAATCTTTTAAGCTATCAATGTACAAAATAAATAGCAAAGGTCCCAAATTTGAGCCCTGGGGCACACCTGAGTCTACATCAAATTGTTCTGATAGGTGTCCCTCAAAAGATACAAATTGTTTTCGACCCCTGAGATATGAACAGAAGAATTTTAAGAGTCCTTCAGAAAAACCGAAGTAGTTCAATCTCGAAAGCAAAGCCAGATGATCAACTTTGTCGAAGGCCTTCTCGAAGTCGGTGTAGATAACATCAACTTGATTACCACTATCAATAACAGGAATACAAAACTCAGAAAAATTTAACAGATTTGAATTAATGGATCTGCTGGGGAAAAATCCGTGCTGTTTTGAAGATAGAAATTTACTGACATGGCTGAACACTTTATGATGAAGAATTGATTCAAATACTTTAACAGGAGCAGGCAAAATTGATATTGGACGATAATTCTTTATGATGTCTCTTCGGCCCTTTTTGAAAATGGGAATTATTTTAGCTTGCTTCCATTTCGTTGGGAAAACATTGCTGGTGATCGCGAGATTAAAAATAGCTAGAAGCGGTTCAACAAACAAATCTGCACAGGCTTTTAGAATATATGGCGGTATTCCATCTGGACCAAGAGATCTTTTAGGTTTGAGGTTTTTGAGTGCAGAGAGGACATCATGATACGAGACACAGGAGACATTGAGGCACGGGACGCCAGGCAGGGTCGGTGAGTGGAGCGCACGCCGACACAGGTCGTCGCTGCCCAGCTGACAAGGCTCGTACACAGACTTAAAGTAAGTAGCAAACTCGTCCGCTATGGCCCTCCCACCCTCCACAACTCTATCGTCCAATTTCATAACAGTTGGATTGTTATCATTAACTCTAAGACGTTTTACCACACTCCAAAATGTCTGAGGATTGCTCAACACATTGTTTTCTAAATTTGAAATGTATTCTTTATAGGCTGATTTAATATTTACTTTAATAGTACTTCTCACCAGTTTGTATTCATTTAATGTTTCAATCATGTTATACTTATTTAGCTTTCTCCTTAGCCTTTCTTTTCTTTTGATCAAGGATATTATGTTGTGATTAAACCAAACAGGATACTTTGAAATTGATTGTTTAGCTTTTGGAACAGACTTATCAAATACATTATATAATTTAGTATAAAAAAAATCAACAGATAAATTAACATCCTCAATAAGTCTAGTTTCAGTCCAGTTTATTTTTTTTATTTCATTGTACAAACTTAAAAAATCGGCCTTTTTAAAATTATAGAAATAACCATTTTGATTAGGTTCTAGATCGTGATGAATACCCTTACAATCAAAACTGATAACTAAAGGTGGGTGGTGCTTATCAATATTTACAAGGGGACAGTTATCAACAGTCACATCTATACTATCTATGTCTGACAACACTAAATCTAAAGTTTTACCACTTTCATTTCTAACATCATTTTTAAGACTGAGATTTAGAATACTACAAAAAAATAATAGCTGTTTGCATGCATCATTTCCCAAGGCTAAATCACAACTATTACCACTAATTTGAAGATTGTAATCCCCCAACAACAAAATATTTTCATTACTAAAGTTATAGCTGTAAAATTGTTCGTAATAATTTAAATAAACATGCAAAGGAGAATTTGGTTGAAAATAAACATTAGAAATAATTAAACGTTTTTTGTTACGGAATTCAAGCAATACTGATACATTTTCTCCCTCATTTTCCAAATCAGACAATCTTGTCACTTTAATATTAGATGCAACAGCTATCAATACCCCTCCACCTCTAGATAACCCTGTACGCTGTTCACATCTATCCCGTCGAAACACCTGGTATCCGGGCGGAAACAACTCTGCGCTTTTTACAGACTCATTCAACCATGTTTCAGTCAATGCTACCACATCCCAATTATTGGCAAACATGCCTAATCTAAACGTAGCAACTTTAGATCTTAAACCCCTTACGTTTTGATAATAAATACTTATTTGACTAGTCATTACTTAATATAAGACGTAGGATGAAATATTAATATAATAGTTGAAAATAAATAAGTAAAAATATTAAATAAATATAGTAACGACAACATGCTAAAACGTGCAATTAGGGGTAAACATACATGCATATTCACTTGAGTTGCTCCAGATCTGCTTTCTCCGTGATGTGGATGGCATTGTCTTTATCTGTTTTCCGCAGAAAGATCTTCCCGGCACTCGTGATCCAGGCGTACTTGAAGTCATGGTCCGCTTTAAAGTTCCTCACATCGCTCCAGAGCTGACGCGTCTCTCTGCCGAGCGATAAGCTGATGTAGATTGTCCCCTCGCTGTGATATCCGAGCTCCGTCGCTGCGATAGATTTCTTCACCCTGGTCCGCTTACGCATCTCCTCCATGTCAAAGCGACGACAGAACTTCACTATGATACCACGCGGGAGATCGGGCTTCTTGTCATTCTTGGACAGTCTGTGCGCGGCGTCGATCATGCTTGCGTCTAATTTGAAGTTAAGCGCGTTAGCAACCTGCTTCACCACGGAAATAATGTTCTCATTCTTTGTCTCAGGCACACCACTTATTTCAATACAGTTACTCCTAGAATATTGTTCACTGGCGATAACTCTTTTCTTTAAATCATTAACTGATTTATTAAGCGATATATTTTCACTTTTTAAAGCGTCAATAAGCTCTTCGCAGGATACAATATTATTTGAATTTTTATTAATAGAGTCCTCACAGTCTTTTATTTTACCAAAACACATATCGAGAGAATCGCTTATATCTTTCTTGAACTGTTTAATATCGTCTTTCACAGTAGTAATCTCGATCAGACACTCATCATTGCCTAATTTAATTTTACGTACCTCTTCAAGCAATAGATTCAATTTATCGTCCATTGTTAAACTGTCAGGTTGACTTGAAGAACTATTGTTGCGAGTAATAGGCATTGTTGATCCTTCAGCTGGTCTTCTTATCAGTCGAACCAACCGTCCACGCTCTGCAACCAACCGGTTACGACGCTCCTAACCTCAAACTGTAACTACAGCTACAAATAACTATTTTGTACGGGTAAACAATATTTTAGCATGCGAATCAGACACTAACACGAAGTCCACGTTAGTTACTTAATATACATGCACAATCCACTATATAGCATTAACAAATTACCCGCACAAATTGTAACTAATTACGGAGCGATTTGACGCGTGTCAGTCAGCTAGCATGTCATCCCCTCTCTCGTATTGTCAAAGGATGTGAAAAATGTGCTCTCACACGTCACAGCCCTCCCAAAGTTCCAGTACATCCCTGGGATACACCACAAGAGAATTGGGAAAGGGTTCATATCGACTATGCAGGACCGCTTGATAATACATATTTTCTCATGTGTGTTGATGCAAAATCTAAATGGGCGGAGGTGAAAATCATCAAAGACTCACCTACTAGTGCAAACACAATTAATCTTTTAGAAGGAATTTTCTCATGTCATGGATATCCTCAAGTACTCGTTTCAGATAATGCTACCATTTTCAAAAGTGATATTTTTCAAAATTACTGCAAAACAAACGGTATTTTCCAGAAATTCGTCGCTCCAGGGCATCCGGCAACAAACGGTTTAGCCGAGAGATCAATCCAAACACTAGAGAATCGCCTGAAAGCAGTCTCAACTGACCAAACTCCAATCCAAACCAAAATTCAAAATATTTTACAAAGGTACAGAGCAACACCGCTAGCTTGTGGTCAGTCCCCGGTGGAACTCTACCTGCACAGAAAAATAAGGATAAGACTAAATGCCATTTTCCCGTACAAACCTCAACCTTCAACTACACAGTCTTCACCTGCACGTTCACTATATGTGGGGGAGAGGGTACAGGTCAAACTTTTCATCAATAATAAAAACATATGGCAGTTTGGTCAAGTAAAGAAGAGGCTTGGGAAAAGACACTATCTCGTAGTTCTCGACTCATCTGATAGAATCCTGAAGAGGCACATCAATCAACTACGCCCAACGCTGGTACAGAGTCCAAAAACGAAAAATGTTACATTCGGACCAATGCAGTTGTTTGATGTTCCCAGAATTCCAAGACGACCAGAAATACATAGGAATCCAGATCCAGTTGCAGCTCCAGAACCAAGGCAACCAGAAGAACAATCTCCAGCAGAAAGAGCTCAAGCTGAGAATGTCATACCACATCGTGAGCAAGCTGATAATACCAACGCCAGACCACAGCGTAAGCGTCACATTCCCTCAAGATTTAGAGACTACCAGATTTGATTAAAAAAAGATTGTTCTTAATTAGTGGGGAAGACTGTCATATCTTTTAGTCTATCTTGACTTCATATGATTTAGTTAATAATTCAAATAAGGTCAAGACAGATGATAATTGTTTTTTCAATGTTTACATTTTACTTTATTATAGTTAATCATAACAATTTTCAATAAAAGAGTTTCTTCAAATGTGTGTTTATTATGAACTCTAATTCAAAGTCACAACAATTATCATGCAGGATGATCACTTTTTTTAACTAAAAAAAAAAAGAGTTATGTTCAACCTACTCGGCCTATAGGATTGAATGTCACTTTGAACTATTTTCTTTATAGTAAGTCAAACTATAGAAGAATACTTGACTGTCTGTCTGGTTTATACTGCCTAGTGTTAGTTCGTTCGTTCTTCGTGACGTTCCAATCCAGAGAGCTGAAATCCTACTTGGACTGAGGCAGTTTTAGGACTTCGTCCTCTGTTTGTTTTAACTTCAACATCTGTAGAAGGAGCTAGCTGCTATAGCCGTAGAGCACGGGACTTCGGCCACTGAGGTCCCGGGATTAAACTTTTCCGATCAACAATGGAATTTCATCTTAGTTATAATGCAACATCCTCTAGGTATAGTTTGAATTGGTGTGGAAAAATGCAGGGATAGAGCCCAGTGTCCGAGGTTATGTTAAGGTGAGACAAAAAAGGCGGGTACTAAGTACTAACTTTCAATTTTAAAAGTTCTCTCAATACATAGTATTATTGCTAATATTAATATTGACTACCTTTGAAGTTAACTGGACAAGTAAATACATCATGGCAGCCAATAATTGCAACCATCATTGCAATTGGTATATTGGTACCAATCGAAAAATTTCTAACCAAAACAATTTATATCACGAGTAGTTATTTTGTTGTTCAAATGTAGCTGAGAAAAATTTATCATTCCTTTTTTATAACATTAAAAACATAAACGACTGTCACAAAGAAAAGTCGGATGATGTTTTGAAGGTAGACGGTTTATTTAATTTAAAGACAATCAAAGTTCCTCCTACTGGCTATTTAATTATTGCTCCTCTAGGGGCGCCAAGCTCAAAAACGCATTTCCATTTGTTATTTAAGGTATATATGTATAATTAACAATTCAACAGTGAGAGCGATTTTTTATTTATCAATATATTTTGAGAAATAAAACTGAGGAATAATTATAATTATATTGCAAGCAAAAGTCAATTGAAATTGTAGGTATGTAGTTTGTACGTTATTCAATGTAGTTTTAATTAAAAATGCATCTTTTTGCCTTACCCATCCAAGGAAAGGAAATTTAATTTGAATTGTCAATACTAATAAACTATGTAAAGTGAATCGCAGGATATCCAATTAGTACATTATTTTTCTCTGAATGAAGATATTAAGAAAAAAGTCAAAATAAATATACACTTATGAATAATTAATTTTTTTCTAAGCCAATCTCTTGACGTACCTAAATTCGAGCATAAAATTATCAAGGATATATTTTACGGGGAAAATTGATCGTAATTAAACTTAATAAGATTTAAATTTATCTATTTTTTTAGGCTACATTCGCAAATAACTGCCGTATTCTTAAAAATACTTCCACTGTAGCAAACCTGCAGGCTAAGGAAATTTCAATCTACCTGGCTTGATTTTCACTAAGATTATTTTGAAATTGTCAGATTTATCACTTATTCTAATAACATTGAGTTAAATAAGTGCATACTTAGTGTTGCTGCTCCTGGGATGGTAAAAAGTGTGTTTTATTGAAATAATAATCATAAAAAATTTACAGTTTTTTTTTTTATCTTCTCCGTAACCTACAACAACGCTTCAATATACAAAGTCGTCTGTTTCCCTAAGTTCTACAAAATTATTAGGAAAAAATTGCAAAACTTCAAGTTTTAGGGGTCAAAAGTGGGAAAACCGTTTTACCCATAACACTCTTATCCCAATATTATATAGCTATAGCTAATTTTTGATCATTCAGAGTGGTATTCCTGAAAATATTTGGATAAATAAAATATCACCTCCCCTGTTAAACTGCTCATAGGACCAGTAAACTAAATAACAAACGTAAATGCATTTTCGAGCTGGACGCCTCTAAACGAGCAATAATTAAATGCTAGTTCGCGAACTCGTTCAAATAAATGTAAGTTAACAGGTCAGTACCAAATTTCTTCGAAAATAGATGATTTCTACTTGAGCTATTGTGAAAACGAACATATACCTAGCAATATACATACAATGTCCGTATATGAACTCAAACGGATCGTGTTTTAAGGTTCCCATACACGTTTTAGCCTCTGAAAACACCACAACAACAAAAAGAAACCATTATTTACCAACAATTGAAAATATCTCTATAGCATTTATTATCCTAACCATGGCGAGTTTATCTTCGAAATCAGTGTCTTGTTTTGTATTTGTATAAATAACCTATAAACCGTATTGTTTATTGTTTTAGTATTAAGAAGGCAACTAATTTATAGATAGGAAATACGAGTGTAAAATTATAGTAAACTAGCCACAGAGCCCGTTGTGGTTAAATACAACGAACGGTGTCTATTAAAATAATGGTTATGAAATCCATACGCCACTTTACTCACTAATATTAATGGTACAGATTAAGTACATAACATTAGAATCACACACTTAACATAAGGAACACACTTTAAACACAAATGCAAATTGTTAACAACAACATTTAATCAAAGAAATCCTTATAATACGTGAAGGCGATTTCTACGAAACACTAGTCCTCCGTTAATAATGGACAGATTTTTACAAACGATGTGTCAAAAACGTATTTTTTTGTGTTCACCAATTCCTGTAACAAAAGTCCTCGGGCTTTGCCCCACAGGCCATCAAAATCCCAATGTATTTCTTATGGATAAAAGATTTTGTTTACTTAAACGGACGAATAATTACAGCTGTTCATAGTAAACACAATGATACACGCAAGAGCGTTCGTTTTCAGTTTCGATAACTGGAGTCGAGTGATTGATTACATTATCTTTGAGTTGACTCTTTTTAAGTCATCGGAAATTATGAATGTTATTCGTTTTGAAATAACGCCCATAATACTTTGCAATTGCTCGAATTCGAGCAACAGGTGCACTAGTATCTATTAAATAACAGTATAACAATAAGCTGTTAAATTATTAACACATTTTTCGTATGATTAGATTATGCATACTGGTAAACCAATGATTGCCATCTATAAAAATTATTGGTTTTTCTTTTCCGAGTAGCTTTTCTACCCGACCGATTTTCATAGTTTTTGCCTTAAACTAAAGATATGGACGTACCACAGATTTGCCAACAAGCATCGGCATTCATTTTGACATATTTTTCGAGTTATGCACAAACTGCCTCCTTGTACATTTCTTATGGGAGTTAATTGTTTTTTTTTCGAGTTCGTTTGGCTCTTCTACCCTATCAATAATTCTACCGATTTTCATAATTTTGGTCTTAAAATAAAGCTATGCAAGCACATATTTGTCATCAAGCATCATCATTAATTTATCTAATGTACGAGTATTACTCGACGAAAAAATATAAATTTTATTTTTTCAATTTTTTTTAAATTAGGGCCTAAACATGTATTCCAGCAGTTCTAATTACATTAACCTATATTTTTCGGTCTGAAAACCTTTAGTGAAATACCAGCTTTCATTTGAGCTATTGATTATTAAGATCGGACTACCCAAAGCACACTGCTGAATCACGAATCAACAATAATAATTATAATCGTATCTGCAATACATATAGAAATAAAGGGTTTCATTAAATGAACACAAATTTTGAGATACCTATTGATAGTTTTAATCAGTTATGTTCAAGATACTGTATCGCTCAATCAGAAAACATAAATTTGATTATATCTTGGACATGGAATTTAGTTTTAGATATATTTATTCAATTCTAATTACGTTATTCAATTTTTTTACCTAAGAACATTAAGTGAAATACCAGCTTCCATTTGAATTATTGATTATTAAGATCGGACGTACCTAAAGCACACTGCTAAATCACGAACAACCCAACAAAAAAATAGAGTTATTTATCATCGATTTATAGTCAAACGATCTTGCTTGCAACCTCAACAGTAGGCCTAACTGTCGACTTTGACGGGTTTCACCTAGTAAATCTTTAAAAAAATCTAACTTTCAAAACTATTTGCAAATCTACACAAATTAGACTTTCCAATGACCCACCAATTAATAAAATCGGTTCATTAGAAGCGTAGATTTAATTGTACAAAGTTTAACAACAACATCTTTAATTCAGTATTTTCTCACCACTATTAATTGGGAGGTTGCCTAACGTTTTTGCAAATAACTTTGAAATGGTGAGGAAATCGACCAAGGTGGAGGGTAATATTCTAAAAGAGAATACAATATCATACAAATTACTATTACGTATTTCTTGAAAATACTCAATAAAGGCAGCCTAAAGTTGGCTACAAATATAAACTTGGAAATATAAACTTGGAAAAAAGGTGTTTTAAATGTATTATTGTTTTCTTTTATTTTTTTCACCTCAAATATGTAATAAAAAAATTGTTTTTAATTATTTGCAAATCTACACAAATTAGGCTTTCCAACGACCCATTAAGTAACAAAATCCGTCCGGTAGAAGTCTAGATTTAGTTGTGCAAAGTGTAACAAAAATATATCTAATTCAGTATTTTCTCACCACTATACATTAGGAGGTCACTTATTGCCAATACAATTTAAACTGGGGGGAAATCGACCAAAGTGGATGTGATATTCTGAAAGAGAATATGCATTTCTTGAAAATACTAAAGGCAGCCAAAAGCTGGCTACAAATAGAAACTTGAAAACAGAAACTTGAAACAAAGCAGTGTTTAATGTAATTTTGTTATTTTTACTTTTTTACCACAAGTATTTAATAAAATCACACTTTATAATTATTTGCAAATTTAAATGAATTAGGCTTTCCAATGGCCCATTAATTAACAAAATTGGTCTAGTAGAAGTCT